TGAATATAAATTTTTTATATTTTTATTTTTTTCTATTTTAACAATATTTTTGTATGAATCACTTTTCAAGTAAGTAAACATTTTGTTTATGCTTATAAGAAGGAATGAAAAATTTGTAGAAATTTATTACATTGAAAAAATCTAAAATTTTTTGCCAAATATATCTTTAACCCTACAAAAACTACAGTTCTTGAATTGTAGAAATTTGTGATGCTATTAAGTTTCCACCTTATTAAATTCACCATAGAAATTTTGTTTGATTAAACCAGATTACGAGTTACAATACTATTATAGATGTAATGTCAAATCTAACCATCGACTACGACTTAAATTTAAGAGAATAACTTTAAACATCCTTCTTTTTTATTATCAACAAAGCAGCCTGATATAATTTTAACCAAAGCGTATAGAGCTTATATAATATATAGTTGAACATTATAATAAAAACTCATGGATTCGACAACTTTCATTATTAACATTATCAACGTTATTTTCCTAATTTACAATTCTAAAATGGAACATTTACGAAGATTTTGTCATATTCTTTAAAATTCCATGAAATTTCTTTTTACTCTTTTCAATTGAATAAAAAATTTCTGTTATACGAGAACCATTAAAATTATTTTGTATACATATAAATTTTAAACGATTTTTTAATAATTCCGTGAGTATACAATATTTCACCAAAAAATTCGCCGAAGAGGCAAATACTAAATTTTCATATTATTCTTCCGCATAAATTAAACAAAATTCTTCAAACTTGTCACAAACATGTTGTTTGAAGATTAATTTACAGAATGAAAAAGCTTAATTACTTACATTTGGTAATAACGTATTAAATTAAAGGTGTATGAAGGCTTTTTATATTTGTGTATATTGTGTAACACAATAATGTTCAATTGAAACAATAATTTAATCGAATATTTTAATATTTAATTTTTGGGAATTGATATGACTGTGACTCGAACATAAAGTTTAATTCCTTTATAAATAACCGCCTACATTCCATATTGGGGTTATACATGTAATTTATCATGAAGTATGGAACACTGGAAAACCGTTTCTGATATCGTTGCCCATAATAGAAATCTAACAAGTCGGTTGAGCCATATCTGTTCGTCTATTTAGATATCTATTGTTCAAGCGCTCATTTGAAAATGCAAATAATTAGAAACTTGAAATTTAGAATACAAACTTATTTTTATAACAAATATAGTAAGATCGACACACTACAAGTTCTCACCAAAGGTTTTGAAGCAAGCAACCACATATGATTTGAAGGCATGTACCAAATAGTCTAGTAAAGAAATTTTTTATATAAATACTCTCAATTTGAGTTTCTGAAATGAGAAATAATCTGATGAGACGCAATTCTACCTTCAATTATCAAAAAACAAAATACTGAATTTTCCAAATAAGTGCTTTATTCTTGAAAAATACTTTGAAAAAAACATTGAACTTAATAGCAATAAATCACAAATTTTAGGGTTTTCCTACCTAAGATGTAGACAATTCGATTTTCATTTCTTCCTAATTGTTCTCTTCCTTGTCCTATTTCTATATTTTGTGTTTCTCTATTTTCAGTCTTATTTTAATTTTATTTAACAATGTTGTTGTTGAAATAAACAAAATGCGTTCTCTATCCCGTAAAATTGCCTCTATATCTCTGTTTCCCGTAAAATAAATAACGCTAAATTCAAAATGAAGCCATTAGCTTCACTTTTATTTTATATTTTTGCTTATAGTAATAATTAAGTTTTAAAGATAAGAAAATAATTTTATTTCAATTTGATTTATATTCCATTGTGATTTTTCATTAAAATATTTAATAAAAAAAAATTTATAATTATTTTCTTTAATTTCCCTTACTCTATTATGCGTAATACATCATTGATTTAATTGGCAACCATGTTAAAATCTTGAATTATAACAATTAACACACGGTATCATTGAAATGTATGAATTACTTATAAGTTTGTATATGATGCATTAGTTTGTCACAGTTTGTTAAATTGTTACTGTCTTAGCCTTACAGTTCATTTATTATGCATTACAAGATATTCTGGAAAGCTTTCGATAATTTTATTTAAACATTCTCTAGGAATTTCATATGGTAATCCTGACTGTGAAACAGTTCAGCAATGAATTAAGGCACAATATAATTTATATTATTATCCGTTGTAAATTTTAATATAACAATAATAACAACATGTAAATGAAAAGTCAGAGTAAAAAATAAGTAACCATTACATTTTATAAGAAAAATTATAATGGGAATAGGAAAAATATAAAAAACATAAAACAAGTATGAATTTCAAGGACAAATTTGAATCTAATTTGTATATAAGTATTTTGTGTATTGGTGTATAAGTATAACACATATTTTATTTTTCCTTATGTTTTTATGTTATATACACATTTTATATATTATTGTTTACTGATGCGACAGCAGATTTTAATTCGATCAAAGATTAAAAATATAACAAAATATAAGAGTCCCTTTTTTTTGTACATTTGTTGGGATACAGCAAAGCGAATTAACGAAATAAACATCCCTTTTATTGATTAAACAAAATATAAGATTCTTGATATAGGTAAAATAAGTCATTTTGGGTTTGAGTAAATTTCCTTTTTTAGATCTTATATTATGTATCGTATATTTGCTTATAAAATTACATTCTGTTGATGAAAATGATGAATAGCTTGTTAAATTAAATTTTGTTTAAAGGTTTTTATTTTTAGTAATAAGAAATTTTCTTTTGATTAAGGAAAATTCAATAAGTTTTATAAAGAAAATAAAATAAAATTTTGTGTACGTATACACAATGTACATAATTTAATGTAAGTAGAATTAATGTATCCTATACAGTCAGGCAGATTTAAATTCAATACGAAATTAACTGCATACGAGTTTTTCATCCCACCACAAGATCTTCTGCATAGGAGTTTTTCAACCCACATTTCTTCTGAATAATATATTAAGATTTTTTTGCCAAAATTGTTCAAAATTGCAAAAGAAAGGAAAAATACAGAATTTCCAAAATTTCTTTGCAGAATTACCAAAAATTAGTACATTTTTTCAAAACCTAAACAGACATTTTGACATTCTTAAAATTGTTGGTATGATTTTCAATCCTATTTTTTGATATTCTTTGTATTCCATAAAATTTTGCTCAAATTAAATTTATTTTAATTATAATTATCCTTAAACTAGGATCTCATTCATTTCCTTAACTGTAATAAATAAATTAATTACCATTAAGCCATTGAATTTCATTTCAATTTCATTAAATTTCTTGGAAATTGTTTTATTTTACAAAATTAAACCAATTTTACAGTGGTATGTTTTGTGTTAGCTAAAAACCAAATTGTAATTAAAAAATGACAAGTAGTACAATATTTTTATTTATAGAACTATGATTTTCTAATAATTTTTTATTAGCAAAAAAAAACATGACGTCGACAAAAGTGTGATACCACGTACATAGCATTTCATGGAATGTAACTTACGTAGTATAACAGTTTGACGAAGGTTTATTTTAGATCAAAAAATTTTAGATTAATTAAAAAATTCTCTTCTTCATTTTCTAAATTTTTTTGTAGTGAAAAATGCATTGAATGATTTCTTAATTTTAAATAGAGATTCTTAGGATTCAAAACAAAAAATTTTCATCCTATTATGCAAAATATTATTTTTTAAGAGGAGTGCAAATGTAGGTTTTTTATTGAGGTTGATTTTTAACTTTAAAATATCAAAAGTACTTTTATACTTTTTAAATTTATAATTAAGTAAATTTTTGTTGAAAAGTTCATCTCTAATTAATATTAACAGTTATAAGGAATCAAATCAGATTAATTTCAATTCAAATTTATTATGAAAAATCAAAATTCTCTTGAAATTCTAATAAGTCGGAAAATCAAAAGTTTCCTTATAATTACTGAGGTACGTATATATGTATATTTTTTTTTTAATGAAAAGAGAAGAAAAGGATATGATTAACATTTATTATGTAGATGATATCCTTGGAATTGGATTTTAAAATTAATTAATTAAACGAAACATAAAAGTCAAAGGTATTTCTATAGAAACTATCTTAAGCCATTATTGGTTATTCCTATTGTGTTTATAAAGCGATTGTGTTGTGGGATAAGATTTCAATAGTTAAAAGAACATTTTAATAAACAAACATACTTTAATTAAATCAGGAAATATTTTAAGAGTAGTAAGTAAAAGGAGAAAAATACTTTTAGTATTTTGCAATTTCATGCAATATTTTAAATTGCCTTGAAATTCTGTATAATGCACTTAGAAATCAAAAATTTACAGAGTAATCCCGTATAATTTGTTTGTGGCCATAATATTATTATAACGTCCTACATTGGCTCAGCTCAACTCCAATAATGAGTCTCTCATGCACACAAATTTGAGTCGCCCTTTCTTATTGTTATTATGGATTTATATTGCTCAACAATACAAAATATTCAAGTTTTTTTTATTAAAATGAAATTTCAATAATAATTAATATACCCTAAAATGAAGGAGAAATATTTGGGAAGAAAATAAGAATAAAATATACAATAATATATGTGTATATATAAAATTAACTTAATTTCTTGAGGTTCTATAATATAAATTAATTTTAATACCGTCAATTGACCAATAATGTATCTGATACACTTGGGCAACCAAAATACTAATCAGAACAACTGCTCCATTCCACACTATTTTAATTAAATTTATTTCCTCTGTTTAAATAATACACTCTAGCATACTTATTTTAAAATATAGAATTTTGTGAGAAAATTATAATATTATTTATGTGCATAATAATTATATTTATTTTCAGGATCAAAACATATTGATATCCCATTTTAAAATAATTTATGTAGATGATCTCTAATACATTAAATTCACATTTTTGCGCTTATATTTATTTAATATTTTGAATTTTATATTTCAATAAATCATTTATAAAGATTCTATTATAAATTATACTAACCTGAAATGCATTTGGCCACATACAATTCTCGGGCATTACAATTTCTGTTGATGAAATACCACCAAAATTATTACTATCATTATTACCAATGCTATTTAAATCATTATTATTATTTGTATTAGTACTATTTGTTATATTAATATTATTATTATTATTATTTAAACTAATATTATTACTATTTTTTATATTATTATTATTATTAATTGTATTTGTATTACTATTACTACTACTGCTACTACTGCTACCGCTGTTACCACTTCCTCCACTTATACTTGAATTATTTAAATTTGAATTGAATTTTATTGAATCATTACTATTTGAATTCGTTGATCCGATAATAACTTGTTTTGGTGATGATAGTCCTTCATTTAAAGGACATAACTCATCTATTGAAATACCATCTGTAATATTATACATATATATATATATAGAAATTTTGAAAATAAAGTAATAAAAATTTATGATGTTTATTCCATATATAAACATACAAACAAACATAAATATTTTAATATAGAATATTTTCCGATTTTACTGAATAAATAATATGCTTGGGTATAAAACTGTTATATAATATTATATGTATATTATTTATGTTGTCATACTTATATAAATATTATGTTATGTTGCAGGACGAAATTACTCTAAAAAACTTTTTTAGAAAAATAAGTTGTAAAATTTTAAATTCTTTATTCCACAAAATAGTTGAAAATAAAATACAAGGACCTTTCTTAATATAATATGTACATAATACACAGAAACTAATTGCTCATGCGAAATAATTCATGTACACATAGTATACTACATTAAAATATGAACAAAATAAAAAAAAATAAAATATATAATAATGTAGAGCGATTTAGAGCAACAACAAAAAATAAAAAATTAAAAAAATTAAAACAGCAAAACAAAAAAATTAATAGAGGAAAACTTGTCGAAAACTTGTTTTTGGCTCTAAGAGCATACACAAAGAACAGCATAGAATGAAAAGAAAATGGAAAAAGAAAACAAAAATTAACCTTCAATTTCTGCATTAAAAATGTTGTCATCCGTCAATATATTTGTGACCACGGAACAATGCTATACACAAAATATATGTACAATCACATGCACATTAATGTTGTGTATATTTAGCATGGTACATATGTGTATGTATGTATGTACCTAAATAATCTCCAAAAAGAAAGAAAACATGGTACAGTATGAGCAAAATAAATTTTAAGTAGGTTTTTCTTACTTCAACTCCAAATAAAAAATAGTTAAAGCTTTTAAACAATTACATGGTTTTGCTTTTAATATCAAGTGCGGGATAGCATTGAATGAGAAAAATGAATTTCAAAGTTTCAAATTTTGGAATTCTTTTCTATGTTTTTCATTTTTTTCTATATCTCTGACATTAATCTCTTTAGGAAATCTTTTAAAACTAAAAAACTAATTGAAATTTTTTATTTATTTTTTTTTCTTTGCTAAGAGACAAAAACAAAAATTTTTAATTTAAATTATATACGATTAAAAGGAACAATATTCTGGCTGTTAATCTTTTAAAAGTATATGAACGAATTAAGATTTTTAGGAATTACGAAAACAAAATTAAATTGTAAAATGGAATAGTGTATAAAATATTAAGAATACTGAACAATAATTACCTATTGAATCTAGATTTTACTACCATAGATTTAAATTTTAAAATTAATGTTGATTATATTCTTCAAGAATTATTCAAATAAAATACTTTAACTAAAAAGAGTAAAAGAGATTTTTAACAAAATTAAAAGGTAGTGGAACCTCGTCTTAGTTGGAACTACTTATTTTTATTATTTTCCTGCATGTACATTTTTTGTTAAGTAGTAAGTACATTGCGTTCGAATCAGAAATATGTATTTCTAGAACGGTCGGGGACTGCAAGTTGCTTCTCAACGAGATGACGGATCAGTTCGAAATTAATTTGATTTTGGTTCCGGGACACAGTGGAATGCAAGGGAACTGCGGCACAGATAAGCTTGCGAGGCCTGCAAGAATTATTGTAGTTTTACATGAAAAGGAGAACCTTGGACTTGCTTCTGAGCACGTACAGGTTGCTGCTACGCAAAGCGGCAGTTGAGCAAGCCAATCAAATAAAAACGAACATAATCAAGTGCAACACAACCAGAAAACTGTGACCAAGGCTGAATTTTTATCACACCAAGGATCTGATTTTTCTCCGCCAAAATGATATTGGTGCTGTTATAGGTCTAATAACGGATCATTGTCTTGTTGGCGAATACGCAAGAAGGATAGGTCACCCTACGAATGGTCTCCCCAGGAGCTGGTGTGACGAGGAAGAGGATGGGACAATTGAAAATATTAAGATCGCGAAATAAAATTTATTTATATAGAACTTGATTCTGATCAATATTATAACGCAAAATTACTTGTTTCTCTTAATTTTAATTTTTCTCTCGGATTTAATAAAAATACAAAGAAATGAAATATTTTTTTTTTAATTCTCATTATTGTTTTAGTTACAAAAAATATAAATTTTAATTTATTTAAAAAAAAATATGCAATATTATGCTCGTGTACTAAATAAATTACACCCTATAGTCTAGAGTACAATGAAAATTCTTCCCTTTTAATCTATCTATATTTACAAAACAATTTTTTTGCAAATTTTAATCACTGAAAAATCTTTTTAATAAAAAAATATAATATACAAAAAAATAATAAAAAATTATTGAATACAAATAAAAAACTAACAGATTAAATATAATAAAAATTATTGAAACAATTACTTTTCCATGTCTATGAACATCAATACATTGCACTAAGTTATATATGTATATAATAACATGTATGTATATTATATAAGTATATTATCACTAGCAGGAGTATATTAAGCGACTGAATATTGAAGCTGTTAGATTATAAAATAAATTGATATTAGAAAAGAAGAAAAAAAAAATTATTTTTTAAAATTTTTTTCCCTGTTTTTCTCACTATAGTAAATCCCACATAATTCATCGAATAAAAAAATAAAAAATACCAATAATAATAGAAAATCTTTTATATTTTTTTTATTATTAAAATCCCCAATCGTATTTAAAAAAAATACCCTTCAGTAAATATAGAGAAGAAATTCTAATGAACAATATACAAAAATAATATTGATAATACGATCCTTTCTATTATATTTTCTATATTTTCTATTGACTATTTTAAATGAGAGTATGTATACAATTGTGAGCTAGTTAAAAAATATATATGTATAAAAGAAAATAATTAAGAATCATATGAAATTAAAATTTACCCAAAGAATTGGGTATGAAGAAATTTCCAATTATATAAAATTTATATATGATTTTTAATAACTGTTCTAAGAAATTATGCTTCACATATGATTACGTAATAAATATAGCAATATCATATTGATGCATTAAATTAGCACGAAATCTAGAATAAATTATAGTTATAAAGATGCTGTTACAAAACTGAAGCTCGTATTGAAACTAATCCATAAATTGGAAAAGTTAATCTTTTGCCATTTATTGCGAAAAATTTCTGAATGATTAAAGAACTTTATAATTAACTAAATTTCGGAGGGCTAATAAATTTTCTGATAAAACACATTCTATTTCTATAAAAAGACTGATATACTCACATAAATCAACATTGCTAATTTTTTTTCTCTAATTTTCGTGAGTACGTCTACACTAATTGAAACTTAATTAATTTTAACTTTTCATTACTTTCACTTATTTATTAAAAAAAAAAAAAAAGTTTTTACTTTTATTTTTCTTCTATATACATATTTTAATAGATACTTGCATTTTAATTTATTTATTGCTATATCAAGTAAAGTTTTATTGGTTAGTATTAATTTAGCAATGCGCCTTTATTCAATAAATTCTAATTGAAAAACTTTCTAATCAAAACAAAACTATTAAAAATTTTTATATAGTTTTAACGGAAAAAACAGAGCAACCTCATTCACAATGTATATAAACCGTTATGTAAAATAATTAGTTTGAAATGCATACGATATTCTAATGTGAATAATAATATAACTAGTAACTTTTTAACAAAAGGGAAACAAAAGCAATTTTCTAACATTAAAGTGTTATGATATGCAATTGATTCTCTTCTGCCATCAAATTTTAAAAATAAAAATAAATTTTGTAAATAAGCAACTTTTACTTGAAAAATTGAAAAAAAAAATTTTCTTTACAAAAATAAATTACTGTATATATTTAGGATGAAATAGAGAAAAAAACTGAAAGAAGCCTTAATTTAGTTGAGTTTTAATTTAAGGCTTTTACCATTTGGAGGGTTCTTTTATGAAAATTTGCAAAAATAATGTCAGCAGTTAAAAAAAAATAGGTGCCACATAACAGTTAATTGTAACGGCCATTTTGACAGTGTAACGTTTGACTATTATATTTTGTGCCAGAAGAGGTCATTTACTACTTTTCTGTGTATATAGAAATTTAAAAAATGGTTATTATTCGAAATTTTGCTAGCAATAATATGCTAATTTATTTTTTTTTTTCTTAATTTTTAGTTAATAATTTACATTTGTGAAAATATAACAGAAAATATAACAGAAATTTAATTTTAATTTGCTAACAAAATACATCGTATAACTGGAAATTAAATCTTTTGAAAAAATAAAGGAAATTAATTTTATTACACAACAATAAAAGAGACTCTTGGTACCAATTCCGAAGGTCGAAACCCCGTGAAGAGCTTTCTGAAAACAAGATTTAAGTACAACATTTTTTCCGTTTCTTAAGCGAAAACTTAACCAATTTAAATATCAGTGACTGCTTTTCTACAATCAAATCAGTCACTGCTCTTTTACATTGCATTATACAAAATTTTATTTTTTCTTGATCGCTGAATCAACTATAAAAGAGTCACACAAATATACGATACTTACGACCGACTATAACTTTATAGTTTTTGCATTAATTCGGAAACATTACTGATTCGACGTATCCCTAGTAATATTAACTGCCATCAAAACTTTAAAAGTTAAAAACTTTAAAAACCTTTTTATAATATGTGTATGTGTGTATGTATATAACCGCCGAATACAATATCTATGTCATTTAAAGTCATCACCATTTTTTTTTCTGTTACTTAAAATGTGAGTGTTTGAGAACGCAAGTACTTACAATATTTTTACTCTTGCAGTAATAGTACTTGAATATATTTAACTTATATTGTTATATTATTTTTTATTTATATATATATTCATAAAAACTACAGTTTTTACCCAAACACATTGTATTACATACAGTAAAAATTTTTTTATATATTTATTTTTAAATAAAAAAAATAAAAAAAAAAATTCAGAAAAAACAAGTAAATTTACTTACCATCTTGTTTACTATATTGTGCAACTTCAATTGATATGCTAGTGCCACGAGGACAAGTTAATATCACTTGATCTGTGTCACATACCGCCCTCTGATATGTTCTTAATGTTGCTGACAATAAAGCTGTTATGTTCATAATAATTATGTGTTGTTTTTTTTTTGTTTATTTTTTTATTTTTTTGTATTTAAATACACAAACATACATGAATAAATCCATGCATTAGCGTTGTAATATTGGATAGAAAAGGATGTGTTGGAAGGTTATTTGATACATATGTATATATATATTTAATCATTACACGTTCAAACATATTATATACGCAAAAAATAATAATATTCATGTAATAACGAGCGGGGAATATGGTTGAAAAATTGGTTTTATTTAACGTTTTTATGTTCGCAGAAAAGTATACAAAAAAAAAAAATAGTGGGAAAAAATACAAAATTGCAATAAAATTTTTTTGTTATTTTTATTATTGTTTTGTGTTTATTATTAATTTTTCAGATATTCATTCATTGTTGCAAATCAAAAGTTGTTGTTGAACAGGATTGAAAAATATCATTTTCCAGTTTGTTTTGTTTTTTTTTTTTTTTTGTTTATTTTTAATATTGTTCAATCAATGGTTTTATGAACATTTTGTTATTTTTATTGCATTTTTTAGTTTTTTTTTCAGAAAAGAATATTAAGATGAATACATATAACGTATATATATATAATTTTACATATATACAATATTCACAGTAGTTTTCCGTTTGTGAAAAATGAAAGAAGAAAATTGGAAAAAAATTTATGCATATATCGATTAAAAATTTTTTAATAATAATTTATTATTTATTCATTTTGTTTATTGATTTTTATATTTGAAATTTTCATTTTACAATTGAATACCAACAGAGATTATTAAAAATTAAGAATCCGGCCAACAATGTAAATATCAAAAGAATTATTAATCGGATAATAGAAATAAATTGGAATAATTAAAAAATTGAATTCAACATACACGCACATACACATTCAAGGTTAATGTTATTGTAATAAAAAAGGTTCAAGTTTATGTAAAACGAAAGAGAATTATTATTCATTTATTAATTTTTATTGTATTTTGAATTTATTTTTCATTTGCCCCCAAACAAATAACGTGAAATTTTATTTTCATAATTTCAAGACAAAAATTTAAAGGAACATTAAATTTGAAATTAAAATTATGAACAGTAAAAAATGTTCAAAATTTTTGTAGATATTTTATGTTATAAAAGTATTTTGAACAAATTGTTTTAAAATTTAAAAAATGGTTACATAAATTAAAGTTATAAAATCGTCAAATAAAATATTGGGAACGGAAATATTATACATTCAGTTTTATAATTTTGAAATTCCCATAAAAAAATATTAATAATCAATTTTTATAAAATTAATCACAGAAAATGTTTTCAAGTATAAATTATGCGTATAAAAATTATGTTTGATTGAAAATCATTTTTTAAAAAATTTATTTAATAATTAAATTAAAGTTATATTAAGAAATAAATTAAGAAATCATTATTAATATTAGAAACAATTTTTTGCCAAGATTTTAAAATGAAAATTATAATAAGAAATTTTTATTTTATGAAAAATCAAAGAAAAATTTTTTTGCATATAAAAATTGATATTGAAAAATTTATATGACAAAAATAAATAAACCAATTAAAGTATAACATTTATATTCAAGTATAACATTTAATAGAGTATAACATTATTATTTATTAATAATAAATTTAAGAAATTTTCATTATAATGAACCCATAAAATAACAAAAAATTTTTTATTCATAATAATTTTGTGGTTATATTAAAAAAATTTCAATTAGTTGGGCAAAATTATTAAAAATTGTTTTTATTTTTTATAACATTTTATGAATTTTTAATTAAATGATATATTTCAATAAAAAAAAATATTTATATATTTAAATATATTATAATAATTTAATTAATAATTTCACAAATATTCGAATTAGAATATTTTAATAAGATAAGAATTTTAAAAGACATTTATGATTATTTCATGCAATTTAAAGTTAATCAAATCCAAATAAAAAAATATTTATTAAATTTATGTAGATGATAATTTTATGATTATAAATATTATAAATTTTTATACAAATTTATTAATTTTTGAAAATTTTATCAAATAATTAATAATTATATTTATATTCAAACAAGAAAATTCATTCATTCATTTTTGTGTATTTAAGGATATAATAATTTTTTTTTTATATCATGTATTATATATAGATTGTATGTGATTTGAGGAATGAAATTTTTATGTGAATAACATTCCATGTATAAATGAGAATATTAATTAATGCAGTAAATATATTTTTATATGAATATTATATGTGTAAATGTGTTAACATTATCAATATCACCGTACAGTAAAATTAATATTTATTATTCAAAATGATTATAATGATTATGATTATGATGATAATATAGTAATTATTATTATTTTTGTTTTTTTTTTATTATTAAATTTTTGTTTTTTGATGATTTGTTAAAATAATGTCATGAAAATATTTTTCATCAAAATAATGTTATAATTTTTGTTTTTTATTTATTATTATCATTATATTTTATTCATATATTGATTCAGGATCAACAACAAAAAAGCAGAAAGTATAATAATAAATAAATTATAAATTTTGTATCATAAAATATAATGGAATTAAATGTATTATTTTTAATTATTATATTTTGTTTTTCATATTGAAAAATAAGGGGAAGTAAATAAAAACAATAAATATTTAATAAATATATAGTTTATCACCATATTCCGATCCCAATTATATTGATATTATATGTATAAGTATATATATAAATATTGCAATATAATATTTGATGTAGCACATAGAGAATCCACGAGAAAAATATTATGTTATTGGTAAAGTTGATTTTTTGGTTGTGTCGATGAAAATTATTTTATTTTTATACCATCAAAACGTGCACCATTATAATTCAATCCAGATTTTCCATTCCAATTTTTAATTTTTCAGTTTGTGTTGCATATCATTCGAATTGTGTGTGTGTCACAGAATAGATTTCCAATATGCCATTATATTTTGTTTTTGCATTTTTTGAAATATGAAATTAAAGAAAAACAGAAAAGACAAAAAAAAACAATGAAATTAATAAAATTTACAATAATATTGTGATAAAATTAATTATATTTTTTTAATTAAATTTTTTAATAATAATAAAGAAAATATTATTTTATTTAATTATTTTTAAATATAAAAAATTGTTTTAAATATAGTTGCGAAATAAAATAATGTATAAAATTGATTAAAAATTTATGCCCCTAAAAGTATGCAATTTTATAATATATAACAAAAAATTCAATAAATTCTCTATATTTTTTGTTCAGCTAGCTATTTAAAATTATTGTAGACAATTTAAAAAATATTTTAAAATTTTTAAAAAAGTAAGTTTTACATTTGTAATAATTAAATTTACATTTCTAAGAATAATATAAAAATTTTCAAGTTTTTTTTTTGAATCTAATACTCAGAATACCATCGTATTATATTCAACATAGTTTTGTCACAACAAGTTCTATTGTTACAAATTTGGAGCAAATATGTGCTAGTATATCCAAAATCTTATATACTCGAACAAAATCCAAATATATTTTAAAGGCACCAGCAAATTACGGTATTTAATTTTCATTTAAATCTTTCCATATAAACACCATATATTTGGAATATCAAAGAAGACAAATTAATTAAAAATATATAGAAACATTTTTTCATTAACTTGAAACTAAGTATTTTAAATAACAATCTTTACTTAATTAAATCACGTAAAATTTCATTGTTTATACTGTCGTTTAACTCAAAGTGAAGTAGAATAACAAAAAAAAAATATCAAATAAGAGAAAAACAATGACTTCATTCCGTTAAAATGTAAATTTTTTTTAGTTGTAGGTACCTATACTTACTTTCCTATGGAATTTTAAAATACAAAATACAAATAATTTTAATGACTTTTTATAAATTATAACAATTTTTTATTTTCTTAAATATTTAAAATCAAAAATGAACTAATTTTTCTTATTTAATGATTTTATTTTTCTTTTCTTCTTCTTCATTTCCTAATAATATTGTATGATCTCTTCATTTTTTCGCAATATAATTTTCTTTATCCATGAATTTTGCAATTTACTGAAAGTAATTTTATTTATATACTTATGTATGTATACATACTAATATATGAAAAATATATGTTACACGGGTTATTTTTTCGCGTAAATATATTTAATAGGTTTTTTTTTATCAGTGATTATCTATCAGTTCTAAAAACAAAAAAACAAAGGGAACAATAAGCAGAAAACAATTCTATTTTTAAAAACGAAACGAATTGGAAAAATTGAAAATAAAAAAGAAAAAACACAATGTACCTACATATAATTTTAAGCTTGGAATATTGTGCATAAGCAAGCAAATTTCCATTTCACGTTAATATATTAAAAATATGTTTCGGAGATCGCGAAACTTTGGAAAAACAACTAATATATTACGTGGTCAGCAAATTAAAACAGGAATTTTTATAAATTTGGACTAAAATTTCAAGTAGGAAGGAAAACGAGTATAGTGTTTGCTGTTTTCTTGTTAGGAGCTTTCTCAGAATCTTAAGTCAATGAACTAGGAGTAGATGTGGAAATAATATTCACGTAATTACAATGGCAGCAATTTAAAAAATCATTTTAAAAAATTAACCATAAAATCAGAATAGACGATCGTATTATATTCAACATAGTTTTGTCACAACAATTCTATTTCTACAAATTTGGAGCATAATGAGTTGCAATTTCAAGACTGCAATAAAATTAATAAGAAAATAAATTTCCCCAAGATGAATACAAATATAGACAGATGGTAAAATTAAATGGTTTAAAATAATTTTTATTTTTTTTAGAAATGTGCTTAAAAATTAGGAAGCACAATACAAAACTGTATCAGGAGAAAAATAAAAAAAAATATACTTATACAATGGCATATTCTATGCGTATACCTACAATTTTTTTTTTTAATAAAAATACGCTAGGTATATAAGGAACCTAAAATATAGACACATCACATTTTCAC